CACAACATATTATTTACTTTATTTGCTGTTGAATTTCTATCACAATATGTTGCTTCTCTCAGTTTAACTAGAGAAGCATTTATTTTTACCATAGAGATAGAGAAAAAATAATGAATAATATTAAAATGGCTGAAAAAAGAAATGTCGAAACAAGTAATATAAAAAAAAAAAAAACAACTGTTGGAAAGTAGCAAGATGCCATAAAGAGAATGTAATGTTCGATTGTGTTCCGTTGATGTCTGTTATTACTTGATGATATTTTTGGTAACTATTCATTGTCTAAAGTAAACAGCAGAAAAAGAGTAAAGACAATTACGAACTGCAGAAAGGATCGAAATAGGGAATTCTTTTTTAATTATGCATGGCGAGAACATGAATAATTTATGATAAGAAATTCAAGTATCGTCACTCGGCTAAAATCAAATGAGTTGTTTTTTTCATCAGTGACAAGACAGTTTAAAGTCTTTCTTCTAATTATATAAGAATATTTATGGAATAATCCAATCTAGATAGAATAAAATGCATCACTATTTTAAGGTGTCATGTGCATACTTAATGTTTTTGGGAAACTCGTACGGGTCTACAAATCTGTATTGAAATGAAAAATGATAATTCAATGCAATTTTTGTTAAACTTTTTATCAATAAAAATTTCGAACTGTCCTCTACTACCAATGAAAATATCAACCCATTTTATTTTAACAGAGTGAACATACACAAATTTCTTCTCGTAAAGTTATTTACGACTCAATCTGTAAATATATTAACCTATTTTTCTTATCAAGTTCATAGTGATTAATTTTAATGTTAATCACTAGCGATAATCCATGTTTTCTAGTGTGAAACCAAGGTAAGCCTTTATTGACGTTAAATAGTATTTTGTATAGAAAACACAAAGAAACTAAAACGAAAAACTATTAAGTATGCCAAGCGAATGTATGTAGTAGCTATGCTTGCTACCATCTAAAATGTGGTACTGCAATATTATTTACTTATGATTTTATTAACATGCTTTTGAGTTTATTTAATGTAATAATAATATTATTTATATCTGAATAATCTGAATTTTGTATGGTTACATTTCGACTTTTTTTCCGTGTATCTTTTTCATACCAACCAGAAAATACTACTCGACGAGTTTATTACAATATTATCTATGAATGATACTCATTAACATGTATTCAGAATGCAGACAAAAACTAGGATGTCATAATCAGTGAATTCAACACTTATTAAATGAGAAGAGATTTTTCAAAAAAATGACGGATACCGAACAAAAATGTCATTATTAATTGATCTTTTATATTTCTGCTTAACATTATGTGAAAAATGATTGAATAACTTTGAATTCGTATTTTGAAAAACGAAATTTTCATGAAAAAGTTCTTCGAAGTTTCAACGACGTCCTCCGATAGTTCAAAGATCCTCACGTCATTTACAAGTTTTACAGAAGCTTTTATGAATAATGGATTGGCTTTATTCATTGTTGAATTTAAAACAAATAAATATAATGCAGGGACATTATACAGAAAATATAATCTTACTTTTTAAAAATTTTGTAGATAAACTGACAGATCTATCCGACTGAACCATATCTGAATGCTTAAAACTTATCTGATATACACATAATTATGTTCTATATAGGGTTGCTATATTGTCAGTACTACTAATCAGTAATCAATTCGAAAAGTAATAAAAAATCGCGAAATACAATGATGATGAAAATACTTTTAATTATTGATTGTGTTCACTCGAAGAACCATTGTTTTTATCCATGTTTAAATAGAATTTAAATATCTACATCAATCAATTGATATAGTCTGAGACAGTGAGAAAAGCTTTTGATAAAAACAGTTTTTCATTGGCGCCTTAGCCAACTGGAAACGAGAAAGCAGCTGCTACGATGTGATTCAAGTTCCTATTCGATGGTTTTCTCATAGATATTCAACATATTTGAGAAGATCTACAAAGTACTATTTGACCAATAAATAATATTTATTATGAATCACTTGGTTGTTCTTCATTTCTATTTCATATCGGATCTATTAGTTTGTTATTCCTTTATTTCACTAATAAGTTATTACTCGTTACTTACTTATTACCAGTATTACATAATACGCTAATCTTTATTATTGGTAATAAAAAAAAAAGGTAATAAAGCAATAAGTCACAATTTTATTCTTTACTGATAAAAAAGCAGTTAAAACTCAAATGGCATTAATACAATAAATAATTAACTCAATGAGCAACAATAAGTAATAGAAACTGTTAGGTCAATTCCTACGCGATTAAAATGTAAAACACAATAGAGCTGTTCCCATCGTCAATGAGAAAATTTATCAACGTACCTGCCACGGTCTGCGATGGACGCGAATGGGCGGATTCAAATTTTTATCCCTATACTTTGACGTTCCTTTTAGATCGTCTTTCATAAAGGTAATAATACTTATTACTTATTACCAAGTAATAATATTAAAAAGGAATAGTAGTGTAGAAGCCCTAGTTCTATATTATCGGTGAAAAATTAAATGAGTACACTCTTAGATATTGTTCTTTTAGAAATGAAAATAGTAAAACGCATTAGGAATATTCACTTTAAAAGAATTTCTGATTGACCAAAATGTTCAAGTAAAACTTCATTTAAGTTAATTCTTTTCGATTATAAACAATTTAGAGAATGACTATGGATTATATTTGCTCAAAACTATGGAGTTCTCAGAATTTTTGTCACTGATTTTTTTTTTCTTTTCTCTTTGTTTCATTATTCAGTTTCATATGCTTACACCATCGCGGTTGACTTTATCGTCTACATTTGACGAATCAAACATTTGTTCCAAAGAAAAAATGTCTTCCAACAGTCTATTATGTTAGCGGCGTTGATAAATGGAAAAGAAGTGTACGATTTGGTCTTGAAGATTTTTCTGTCTACAATAAATTGATCTTACTGGCTGTTTCATCGTCTCCGTCGATAATAACAAGAATGCGCATGACATTTGAATCGATAATCAGTGTTAAAATAGGTTTCTTATTCACATATTGGTTTCAATCCATGGCAAAAAAAGATTTTCAGTATCTGGAGTGCCATTACCAGTGGTCATTGTTTCAATGTATCTTTTCTTTCTTGATATTATCATGTTAAAAGATTTCAATCAAGGTGTAAAATTTTCCATTATTATCGATCATTGAGAAGTCAATGGCCATTTGATGTGTCCGACATTTTTCCCGTCAATTTGTATTGCTTCTTTTTTTTGTTCTCACAAGACAAAGTTAATTTTTGAATGAACTTCACTTAATGAATGAGTTTAATAAATTATGTAAATGAGATTAACAACGAATTGTTGTAAACTAAATACTTTACAAGAAGGAGATCTGTAATCATATTTACAACTAAAAATATATAATTTTCAATAGCTATATGCAAACATTGATGTATCGACGTACAAATTTTAGCTATAGCAATAAATCGAGTGTCGTATTAAGAAAAAAAAGCATACTTTTTAGAGTAGAACGTGGGTCATTGAAGAGGATTACATCCACACTATCACATACTTACACTAACACTCACATTCACACCCACACAAACCTATTCGAGCTTGTTCGGCAGTAATCGAAAAAAAAACATTCTTTGAGAAACCTTGCGTCTACAGATAGAAGGTAATATACAACGTCACCAACATGATTCAATCATATGATTTATGAAAGCTTTAATATATAGAAATCAACATTGGAATTTGATATTTCTTCGTTGTGAACTATCCTTTTCACTTTCGATAACGTAAAATAAAACTTGAAGCATGGCCTAATAAGGTGTATTTTCATAGTATGTGTACATATAAAACTCGTGTCTGCATGATGGAATTAATTTATGCGTTCTCTCAACAATAACACTGGATAAGAAACTCTTACTGACAAATAGACCTATTCATGGCTTCAACCATTCGAATCGAACAAACAAAGAAAATACATTTCGTTGCCGATAGAAATTTTGTTTTGCTTCGCAAAAATATAATTTATTCCATGCCAATACTGAGTGTGACAAAAAAAACATCTTCTCTCTGTGCAAGCAAAAGAGCAGTTAGAAAGGTTTCTCCTTCCATTATTCATTTGTTTTTAAAGTCATTTTTTAATTTTTTTTTCACTGGAGGTGTACTTTCTGCATTCAACATTTGCCAGTTTGGCACGGTAAAGTTTTCTTATAGAGAGAGCTCTTCTAGAGATTGAAAACTTGGCCAGAAGGAAGAACTTTTATCCTGATTGAGAATTGTCTTCTAGACGTTGAAGTAAGGTCTTTGAGGTGAGCGGTATTGCTTGGGCAACTATAATTTCGCGAAGAATACATATTAAGTAGACCTTTCTGCAAGAAAGCCCGAAATCGAACATAAAATAAATAAGATCATCCCGGTTTGATTGGGATCTATACCATTTAAGAGTTTTGAAAAGTTGTCATATAAACTCAACTGTGTCTTATCATTTGTTCCATATCGATTATTAGCTGGAAGGTGGTCAATGTAAATGCATTTCAACCTTTCAAATAGTAAGTTTCAGCCTGTTTTATTAATGTTTTGTGGACTCGAACTAAATTTTGGCGATTCGGTTTAGTTTGGTTCTTTGCGAACAGATGTAAATCTGAAATCATATTAGAGAAGTTCGCTCGGTTTTGGGAAAACTATTTATATTGGATTGACTGAAACTTAAAATCCTCTAAGGAGAATCTATTATATATTTCCACGTTCATATTGACGAAAAATAGGATAGAGCAATGCTGCAGTGAAAGGGTGTGGATATTCTCCTATCTCACACCCACCGTCGTTCAATAGCACAAACAAATCATTTTCAAAATAATAATGAGTTTTAGTCCCAATGGAACTTGTTCGAGTGTAGATACTCTTTATAACATCACAAAATAAAATTTTTCTTTTCTATATGTGGATAAAAACAGCAATCAACAAATCTGTTTGAAAGATCATATTGCTCTGTCGTACTGAAATATAGAATCAGAAAATGAAAAAATTACTAACTTTTATTATCCTCATATGCTTTTTATTCTACTTCTGTAATTGCGGAAATTTATCAACTACACAATTAGCTGAACAAACATTAATAACAACATTGCTAAATGGATATAATAAAAATATAAGACCAGATGAACAAGTATATGTTGATATCACTGCTTCACTACAACAAATTGTGTCTATCGATGAAAAACAACAAATAATGACATCAAGTTCGTTTATTTCACAATCATGGACCGATAATCGATTATCATGGACGCCAAGTGCTTCAGATGATATTAACGTAGTTATGCTACCAGTTAAAAGTATATGGATACCAGATACAATGATATTGAACTCAGCAGATACAAGTGGTTATTTTACAGTGAGTGATTATAGTTTGGCATCTGTCGATTACGCAGGTAAAGTGTATCTGATATTACCAGCATTATCGATAAAAACAAGATGTAGCTTGTTTGTTCAAAAGTTTCCATTTGATAAACAAATGTGCAGCATCAATTTAACATCATGGAGTCAAGGATCCAATAGAGTCGTATATTCAGAGGATAAGAATGACGTAATTGATACTAGTGAATATAGTGAACATCCTTTATGGAAATTGAATGGAACAGATATGATTGTAAGTCAAGCAGAAGATAGAGTACCATTTGAAGATGGTTATAATGCTATAATATCAATACAATTATATCTACAAAGAAAACCATTATTTTTTATGATGAATGGTATATATGCATGTTTGATTTTAAATTGTGTTACTTTGCTATCATATACATTACCTTTTGGATCACAAATTGGTCTTTGTAAGAATTTTTTTTTTCTTGAATACTAAATGAAATCTATAAAATAAATATTCTATTTGCATTTTAGGTATGACATGCTTTATGACATATTCTGTTTATTCACTTAATTTTTCCAATTTATTTCCACAACAATCGGAATACTTGATGATGATCACATTATATTTTTTGTTATCAATTTGTTGGACATTAATGTCAATGGTATGGTTTATCATATGTAATCATTTTACAACAAAAGCTGAAATGCCAAAGTCAACTTATGCTTTTTGTGGACAGTTGCAAAAAGCACTTTGTTATTGTTTTCCACCACCAAAAGAAGATGACAAGACAGATAAAAATAAGGATGTTATTGTTGAAAATGGTGACATTAAGAAGTCTGATGATAAAGAAAGTACAAAAGTAACAAATACTCAAAAAATGAAATGTGTTTCTTGCCAGAAACTATTTTCTTCATGTCTTCAAAGGCGTAATAGAGTTGAAAACATTGACAAGAAACAAGATATATCCAGTGAAGAAATAGAATCTAACAAAATAAATACAACTGGCGTAAACCCAACTGACGTTAACCCAACTGACGTTAGTTCAACTGACGTTAATCCAACTGAAACAACAGCATGTATAAACACTAATGAACCAAATGAGACAGCGAAACCAAAATGCGACTTCTGCAACAGATGTGAGTCATGTCAAGCTGATTTTGATAAAGATAAAGCAAAAGGTAAAAATAAAAAAGACATGGAAGCTAGATGCAGCGCCTTAAATTATTTCGTCTTTCTTTGTGTCTTATTATTCATGTTTATCTCGAATATGGCTATATGGCTCTCAATGTCACAATAACTGACTTTAACTTATTTCTTTAACCATAATGTTTGTCTTAACTACTATTAAAACTAAAACAAAATAAATGTGCATCTTTTAAAACACAATAAAAATATATTTTGATTGCATTTTTAAAAAGGGTGGGTGTGGGTGTGAGCCTGAGCGCGGATGTTAGTTAACAAGAGAGCTCGACCTATGCTTCATACCCACACTTCATATAAAAGATATTTTTCTTAGGTGCAATGATTTTGGATATAAGTGGAGTTGTGAACATACCTTAGAATGAGATACACGTACATCCGCACCTTTTTGAAATAAAACATCGATAATAACTATGAATAAAAGCTGTGCTCCTTGGTCGATTACAAGTTCGAACGCCGACTCGAACACCAAACGATTTTTCATTTATTGAATTCAAAACTTATGCGATATAACGAATCGACTAAGGAACTCATCTCTTGACTCTGTCGTTCGGAGAAAATAGGTCACACATGACAACTGTTATATTTATCCTATGCGTTGTGTTAGTCAACGCTAGTTAACCTGTTCGGCTGGTGCTCTACCAGGACGAAAATTACGATACGATTATTGATGAAGTAATCACCAATGATAATCACAAGTAATGGTGATCCGAAATGATCTGTCAGACTGATTGAGCGATATCTTCTGAGCTCGTTTTGAAATTGAGAAAATTAGTTAAATTCGTCATTGTACAAATATACATCGGTTAGGAAATGTGCCTGCGCATTTCTGTATGGTGGCAGAGATTTTGTCTTTCTGAAATAGAAACCGTAATTGGCAGTATCAATAGCATTGCAGGATCGAAAAATACGTTTTGGGGAAGAAAGTTGACTATTTTCCTTACGTTTTGTTTCATGATAACGTCATCGATCACACCAATACTAATGCATAATTACCCGACGGACATTCACACTTAGTACGACCAGTCTTACGAACTTGTGCGTTCGAGGCGAACTGTCTCATTCAATAAATTAAATTCGTTTGGTTTTTTTTGAAATTTTCTCGGAAAATGTTAATAGTGACTTAAGTAACTATGCTACACAAGCACATGGGCTCTGCGAACAAGAATAATATAAGCAAAATATTAGCGTCACTAGACTTTCGTTCGCTGAAAAAAATGCAATTGTATGTCCTTGTCAGCGAGTAGAGAGATGAACCATGTCATTCACATTGGCATTTCTAAATAGAGAAAACGTCGAGGAACAAGGGTGCTGTCTCAGATTTTCCATGGAGTATGTTCAAATCTTGTGAACAATCATCCTCAGACATCTCATCGTAGTTTGACACTAAGAAGAAAAAAAGACACAGAATTAAATGTTGTTCAATATGAAGAACAACTCTCATTTTGTCTATATGATTCAAGAAGTTGAACTCAGTTGATTGATGAGTAGTTACCTTTCGAATTATGATAACGTATTAGAATAATTTACACAATATATATATATATATAAATAGTCTAGCGAGTATAATCAAATGGAGACAATAAATTAGAAATTTAATTTATGAAAAATAAAAATGAATCTGTGTAAAAGAATTCAAAATAACATCATCAATACTAATAATGCTGGTTCTAAAATCCATATGTGTAATTTTGAATGTTAATAAAATCCAACCAATGCATTTTCACCAGAATTACTTGAAAAAGTATGTGAATTATTTTCATTATTATCATTGCTAGAAGAGATAGCTTGTTGATATGCTTGTTCAAATCCATATTGACTTTTTTCAATCATATGTTCATTTGCAGTTAGAGATAGACGAAAATATCCAGGTATACAACATACTGAACCTATCAAACACAAAACATTATATTTCGCTAATAGCTCACAGAATGCTAGATCAGTATATAAAATGTTCCTTGTGGTTTTAAAGGTATTTTATATCCTATTAACAATAGCATATCTAGCACCATATTCAATTTCTTTTCCATATCGGATCATTCGCTAATGCCACCATCATTGAGATATGAGAAGGAGGTCAACCAAAAATGAGAATTGATGACGCGTGGAAGGGGATTTGGTCATTAGTAGCGTCATCGATATTAATTTTTTGCTTTGACTTGAACTGTATTGTCATGAATGAACGCTGCGATTGGTCGATGTTCAAATGCTAGCTCTCCATTTTTCTTAAACTCTGTCCATAATCGTAGAAAAAACAATCAAACATATCGTTCTCTTATGCTTTGCCGTTCTCGGTTACAAGGAAACAATTGTATTCGCTATGACAAGAATATGTTATCTTGTATTCAATCTGTTATCATACATCAACTCAGTGGCGAAAACAATGATAGAGTAGACAGCAAGATGACAAAGTTGATTTCTGAGATATGAGCCAAAGTTGTAGCTGGTATTAAAACTGTTGTTTCTACGTTAAATTACACCTTCGATTCTGATTTCAAATACGACTTGCCGTCTTATAGTATCTACCTCCAAATAGGTACTACAGGTGAATATCACTGATAGAACGTTGTAAATAAAATATATGTTTCATATTAAAGATACAATTGTATTCATTAGATGGCATGCAGTTATTTGGCGTTACATTTGTACTCTATACTATAGGCCTTTAGTACCTTCTGAAGCTCTGTCTTCTTCAATAGAGTCAAACATCTGTAACATAATAAAAAACAACAACTAATAAATAATGCAATTCTTTTTCAAGATTTCTTTTACAAATCTTATTTGAATTTTTATTTACTGTCTGAAACGGTATGCTACCATCTACTTTAGCTGGATACGTAAAGGTACGTACCTAAGCCCTTACTGAGATACGGCGTCTCAAAACATAATCTTCGAAATAGACTCATTTTGAGTGACTTTAAAGTATACTACGAGAGAACTTTTCCAAGTGTTAAATGGTTTCTGAATAGGAACTATGCTCATTCGATGAGCACTGATTGAGGATCAATAAAGTCTAGAATTATTTTATTTTCCAGACCTTTGTTCTTATAATATTCAATTGTTACTGAGTTTTTCAACGATACCTCGTAGTCCTTTTCAACGAATACATTGAAAGTTGACTTTTGAGTTTTCATATAAAATCTTTAACAAATCATCTGCTGGATAGAACTTGTTCATTATCAAACTTTCAGTGTTTTTCATTGCTACTGTTGTTACAAACGAACATAAAGACAATTTTACTTTTCAAACAGCAGGATTCTAAATATGCATATTTCTGAACAGAAGCAGCGAAAACGCCCTGAAACTTTTAAAATAAAGAAGTTTCAAGTCAAAACAAAAAATTCAACTTTTGACATGACGTAATAAGAACTATAAAGTTTGTAGCTTTGTTGGAAATAACTCTTATTCAGATAGTTCAAATGAAAGAATAAAAGAAACAGTGTTTTACATTTCTGTCGCACTTTTTTCCTATTGTCACAAGATCTACTGATAATGTAAAGTTGTATCTGAATTTCAGATTCTGAAATTCGATGGGATAATAGTTTGATGGCTGGAATCAGACGAGTTATTCGATCATCAAAAAATATTTCATTTTCACGTCGAGGAAACGACGATTTTCGTTTTGTTTCTCTTCAGGCTAATCAGATTATCACACAAATATCACTATACTAATATTCTCTTAGAACAAACTACATGGAATGTGAACATGTTTGTGAACAAACGTACAATATCTGTATTTCTTCTCTTATTATGACTAAACAATGCACCTGTTCGGCTTGAGGTATCGAATTCCATTGAGTTCATTATAAACCTTGAAAAAACTCGACTTATTGACTTCAAGTGTCTTAAAACTCTGAAGTTTGACATCTCTAAGCTTGTTTTCAATGATAATATAAATTAGATCTATGTTTTTGTCGAACATTGAAACATAGGGATGTCTCTGGATTGAACTGTTGTAAATTCAGGATGTGAGTTCATGGTCGTGTCGTCTTTTCACATTCACGTCCGACTTCTACTTACGTTAGTCAGTGTTCTGACGAATCTCCTCTTAAGTAGAATATTTTCTTGATATCCTCGTCCTAAATAATTTTATTATCACAGTCGAAAGGTGTGATACAGTAACATTCGATATTTGGATTTAAATGTCTAGAAGTTTCTTTAACAAGTCAAAAAATAAACAAACATTCTGTCAAATTCTTTGTCGATAATCTGTTATACAGTAGCAATGTTCACCATTCCAAAAAAAACTGAATTCTTCTCATAAATAATGATATTTCGAAAACTTCCCCAAGAACAACAATCACAATATCAGGACGGTTCGAAAATGTGGCACTTTCCAAGAAATATCAACGAAACAGTAACGAATCTCTAAACAATTTTCGGAGTTGCTTACAGATCACTGAGTGAATTTCTAATAATCTTAATCATTCATATAATAATAATAAGCCACTACCTAAGAAATATTGGATATTTTACAAATTGCAAAGAAAGACATTTCATCTTTTCGTGTAGTCTCTGATCAAATCATGCGACATAACAAAAATAATCCATTTCAAAGCCAATAGTGATCACGATTTGAAATATCTAGCAGGTCAAATTAATTTATTCGTCATTTTTAAGTTAACTATCAACTTGTTATACACAGAACTCTTCTATTGTTCAATTGTAATGTGGCGACCTCTATAATTTATTATTTATTCAATTTTCTAAAAACATCTGTATTATTATTATTATTATTATTATATATTTTATGAATTTATTACAGATAAATCATAATAAAAAGCTACAACTCAATGAATATACATGCATAATACCAAATGGAGAGGATATGATATTGAATGGATCTTATCCATTTATTCTATGGCTGTATTTATTTATTTTCAGCATATTGAAAGTCCGTGAAAGATAGATATTATAAAGCTAGTTTGTAGAAGAGTTTTTCTTTTTTTATTATACATTGAATATTGTTCAAGAAAATGCTATTCAATATTAATTTTATTGTATGTTTATAGATCATTACACGTCGTTACTACCATTATGTCGGACACCGAGATGGACGAGACCCCACGTGGCTCGGATGAAGTCGACTTGAATAAGTCGTTACAAGAGGTCCTTAAATCAGCTGCACGTAATGATGGACTTGCACGAGGTTTAAGAGGTAAGAAATTTGACTGTTTTGTCTTGAAATAAAGTTGTTTTATTTTCTCTTGTAGAATCGGTCAAAGCATTAGATCGACGTGAAGCACATCTTTGTGTTTTAGCATCAAATTGTGACGAACAGAACTATGTCAAGTTAATTGAAGCCTTATGTGCTGAACATAACATCAATTTATTACGTGTTGATGATAATAAAAAATTAGGTGAATGGGCTGGCTTATGCAAACTAGATAAAGATGGCAAAGCTCGCAAAGTAGTTCGATGTAGTTGTTGTGTTGTTCGTGATTTTGGTGATGAAACACAAGCTCACGATCAATTATTGGAACACATGAAAAAAGCCAAACAATCTGCATAAAAATTATTATTAAAAAAAAAAATCGATGCTTTTTGTTTTTGTATTCCGATTAATTGAAAAACAAAGTACATCAATAAAATAAGAAGACAACAATAAAAGATGAAAGGAATTTGATATAGAATTTTTTTTTTTTCTAAATATAATAATTATAATAACGAGAGAAATGTTCTAAGGAAAGTCATTCTGCCTATTTCCAGATATCAGTTTGTTCTTTGTTTTGTTGTAAATGGCTTCTATTCTAAAATTGCAAGTCATTGGCGGTGCATATAATGAAGGAGCTTTGGCTTATCTTTTACAAACAGACGATTTTCGATTTTTACTTGATTGTGGTTGGGATGAAAATTTTTCTCCTGAAATCATCGAAGAATATAAACGGTAGGTTTTCTTCTTGTATTATCATTATCTTCTATTCTACTTTATAATAAAAAATATACAAAACAATGAATTGTTTTACATATCATATCCTCTGCTGATACATATATATATGATAGTGAAAATAAAACAAATCAGCTTTTAATATTCGCAACTAATAACTAAAATCAGTCAATTTACAAAAGAAAAAAAAATCTATACTAATTTTCGATTGCAAACCTTATCAATATTTTATTTTTAGTCATATTAAATCAGTTGATGCTGTATTAATTACTTATCCCGATATATATCATCTTGGTGCTTTGCCTTATCTTGTTGGACATTGTGGATTAAAATGTCCAGTTTATGCGACAATACCAGTCTATAAAATGGGACAAATGTTTATGTATGATTTACATCAAAGCCGTTCGAATAGTGAAGATTTTACATTATTTACCCTTGATCATGTTGATGCTGCATTTGATCTTTTTATTCAACTTAAATATGATCAATCAATACCACTTGAAGGTTTATTAAAATAATCATAAATCTTTTGTTTTTGTTTTTCTTTACTGTTATTTTGTATTGAAGGAAATGGACAAGGTTTAACAATAACTCCATTACCAGCTGGACATATGATTGGTGGAGCTATATGGAAAATTTCTAAAGAAGGTGAAGAAGAAATTGTTTATGCCGTAGATTATAATCATAAAAAAGAACGGTAGAAGAAATCTTTAGTAACTTGTTTTGTTTTTCGAAAATTTGTTTTGTTTTTGTTCAGACATTTAAATAGTTCAAATTTAACAAAAATTAGTCGACCAACATTATTAATAACCGATGCATTGAATACAAAATATTCTCAAGGACAACGAAAAACAAAAGATGCTCAATTATTAAGTATGAATAAATATTCAAAGAATTTATTTTTATCAGAGATCTGAATTCTTTTTTATCTTCGATTTACAGCAACTATTTTAGAAACAATGCGACGTGATGGAAATGTTTTAATTTGTGTTGATACTGCCGGTCGTGTTCTTGAACTAGCTCTTCTTTTAGTAATAATTTTAATAGAGAAAAAAAACGAAAATCTTACATTCGTTTTTTTTTTTTCTTTTCCTCTTAGGAACAATTATGGCGGAATGAACAATCTGGTTTATTTGCTTATTCATTAGCTCTATTAAATAATTTTAGTTTTCAAGTCATAGAATTTGCTCGTTCACAAGTTGAATGGATGTCAGATAAAATAGTTCGACAATTTGAAGAAAATCGTGCTAATCCATTTCATTTACGTTATGTTAAATTATGTCATGATCTTAATGAATTAGAAAAAGTTCGCGCACCAAAGGTTATAAAAATCATTTTTTTTTCACATAGAAATTTTTATAGTACATATATATATATTCAATATATTTAGGTTGTATTAGCTAGTCAACCTGATTTAGAATGTGGTTTTGCACGAGATTTATTTATTCAATGGGTTGAGAATGATAAAAATAGTATTATATTAACAACAAGAACATGTCCAGGAACATTAGCAAGAGAATTAATTGATAAACCAAATCTTACAACAATTGAAGTTGAAGTAAATACATAATCAAATTTTTATTATTTATAATCGAGAAAAGAATTTAAAAGTCACAAAAAATATCTTGCCAATACCAGAGATGAAGTGAAGTATACAATATGTAGATTATCATATCTGTTATAATAGCAAAAGAATCATTTCAATTGTGTCTTAAGTTCGTTTTCATTTACCTTGTTTCCGTAGTTACATCTGCAGAAATAAATCTAACAAAAGATAGTTCAATATTTGAATGGTTGGCTATTCTTGAACTGAAACTGATAAATCATCAGATAGATACGAAAATTGTAAATCATTAATCTCTAGAATGAACATTTCTCGATAAACTTAAGAATTTTAGTATCACTCTGATAATTTAACGATTCAGTTCTAGCGTTTTAGAATCGTTGGGGTGTGAGTGCGAGTAAAGAGAAAAAGAACATTCACATTCACACCCGCATTTCTTGACCGTTGTTTTTGTTTTTTCTTTTAAAGGTACGTCGAAAAGTTCCACTTGAAGGTGTTGAATTAGAAGAATATATGGAACGACAACGTATTTTAAATGAACAAAATGCTGCTAAAGCTCAAGCAGAAAAGAAAAAATCTCGTAAATTATCAAAACGTTCCATTGATGAAGAAATGGATGTTGATGTTAGTGTAGATGATTATGAAGAAGAAGAAGAAGATGAAGAAGAAGAAGAAGAAGATGACGATGATGAAAATCAGGATAATAATAAATCGAAATTATCAACAACAGATACTATAATTGATACCGGTCTTGCTGATGATTTAAAAGGAAATTCTTTACATACACCGTCAAGTATTCGTCTTCCATCTCAATCGCCATTTGCACCAAAACGTAAAGCATTTGCTATGTTTCCATATAAAGAAGAGAAATATGTTTGTGATGATTATGGTGAAATAATTAATCTAGATGATTATATGATTATTGAAACAAAACCATCAATAGCAAATGATTTATCATCAATAAATTTTGGTGATTCAGATGAACGACATCCATTTAGTGAATTAACTGATATAACAAATAATAATAATAATACACCAGGTATGATAATGATGCAACAACCTGCAACTACTCTACCAAATAATCAATCTCAACATCCATCAATTCAACAAGTTCAACATCAACCATCATCTATACCGTTTAAAACTTTACGTGATAAACGTGAATTAAAAATAAATGCCAAAGTTTTATATGTAGATTTTGAAGCACGTAGTGATAGAGAATCAATTGAAAAATTACTTAATCAAATTAAACCAAAAAATTTAATATTTATTCATGGTACACAAGATTGTATTGAACAATTAGATAAATATTGTACAGCAAGACAAATTGTTCAAGGAAGAATATTTTCACCACATATCGGAGAAATAGTTGATGCAACAACTGAAAGAAATCTTTATCAGGTATGTTTTATATTCAATACAGTGGCAGTAATTGATTCTTGCAATTATTAGTAGATGTATTAGAGATAGTTGACGATCTAAGTATCAAATTAGTGATGGTATAGCGCACATTTCACCGAACGATTTTTGTCCGGATAGATCGTATGAGAGTAGAAGTAAAAGATTTTCGATTGAAAGCAGATGTCTACAGAAAATTGATTCTAACATGAAATAACAAGACGTTTTGATTAAATTGATTCAAGCAAAAATCGAGAACGAGAGTTGCAATGACTGTAATGTATATCCATTTGTACAGATTGAAGCTAAGAGAAATAAATGCGAAAACCTCGGATTTAAATTCGAGTGTTATGTGTACTTCAAAAAGTGAAAAGGTATATTCACTGTGTTTTTTATCACTAAATTGCAAGGAGAAAATACAGACGTACTAAGTTATCATGGACCATACTGTATGCGACCCTATCCGGTGACCACTGACTCTACTCTCGCAGTGATATTATATCTTTAGAAATCACAGGAATTGAGTTCAGATTCGTGTTTAGCTTGAAAAATTGGGTAAGAAGTTATTTTTGAATGGATTTGCGTTTGTATCTAACAGGATTACGATCGTAAACAACCTCATTAATCTATAAGAGATATATCATAGATACAGGCATCAGGATTTTCCTAATAAATTACCAATATTAATAGCTATCGAGTTAGGATTTTTACCTTTCGATAGTCCTTTTGACTAGCTACAAAATCAGGCGTTTGTGAAACCCCAAAACTACTGGTCATCTGAGACACATTTAGGCAATTTGGTTTCTGGATGTAGTTTTTGTGCATTTTGAGACCTTTTTCAGGCGATGTTTTGTTAGAAAGGTACTATTTGGTTCAAAAATAATATCAGATTCGGAATCAGCGTTAAAAACTGAGTCGATTTATATATGTTGTGAATAATTTTGAGAAAAATATATTTTTTTTAAATCCCTGTACCTCCTCTCAGGGATGGTCTGGTCAATAATGACAATTTTTTCGATAACTCAGCCATTTCGTGACGGATCCTTCTCATCTTCGAACTCGACCGAGATNTGTGCCACTGAAGGACATCGCGAGCGTTTTAATAAATAGAATTATCTTCCTGTTAATCAATACAATTATAACAGACACAGGTATTATGTATTTAAAAATACATTCGATGATAATCCTAAAGAGAGCGTTCATGAGTCCATCAAAGAATCAAAGCACTCAATAAAATTTAGATTATTGATTTCATATTTTTATCTTGTTCAGCATTATCTAAAACCGCTAAATCCAAATTTTTAGCGTTTTAGATTGAGCTGGTGAAAAGTTAGCCAGGACAGACTTTCAAGCCCTGAAATTTTTCTGGAAAAATATAGTAAAAAATCAGCCTTTTTAAGTTGAACTTTTTCTGATAACAAGAAACTAGCAAAAGTTTTTGTGTGATATATCAAAAGATAGAGCGTCGAAAGCTGAATAAAATGATCTATTTATATATTATATTTAAATGGACTAAGCCTGAGTTATTTGTGAAATACTGTCTATGACTGCATATTTTTGAGCTTCAGAACATGCCAAGTTTTTCTAGTATATCGCCTGCCATTCAGTCATTTTATGACTCTCCACAATGAATTTTACATATGTTGTACAGTTTTTTCTCCTCTACAAAAGAGTAAGAAAAAGAGTTTAAAAAAATTAGAATTGTGACCAAAAATATTACACAATGCCGACCAATGAGAAAGCACTTACGAGGGAAGGCCCCCAACTTGAAAATCGCTTTCGAACTGACTAAGTGGGCAATAGGTAATCGAGGGTGCTGAAACCGAATATCACAACCGTTTTGGCTAACGTCTGGATTTTGAGCCGATTTTTGGAAAAACCAGATCTTCAGGGTCAAAAACTTTTTGCGACAAAACAACTTTTTTCATGTGTCCATATGAAAGAGCATAGCGCAAAACCTATAGAAAGCTAATTTTCAAGGCGACTAGAGGGTTTTTAAGCTTGGTTTTTAGATAAAAAAACGAAATACCGAGGACAAAAGTTCTTTTGAAATTCAAAGTTTTTCGCCGTTTTCCCTTAAAATTGTTTAATAAAAAAATTTGTCCTGTTCGTTCTAGATGATTGCTCGTATTCAAGCGTAGACTTTTTGCTATTACCAAAGTTTTTAAAGTTACACAATTGAAATTGAACATATGGTAATTGTTCAGGTACAGTTCAAGAACATCCGCAAGTGTTGGAAACATCCGTGCGTCATATGCTGGATTCTCCCAAAATGAAATAGTGGGTTTCTTCCCAGCGTGTTATTACATGTTCTATGTTGGTATTTTCCCAACATATTCATATACGCCGTACTTGGTTTTTCCAGCATGCTTATAAATATATGTCCTTGCTTTTCTTCTTTCTCGTTCGCGATCACATCCACTACTTCGCTAGTTTTCTTGATAGTTATTTTTCTCTTCCTCTTCTTTCTATTGTTTTCATTCCTATCTATATCGTGTTGTTAGCGTCAACAGGTATCACGTAGTTGCCGCTAACTTTTCTCATTCTTTTCGTTCTCCTTTACGTAACCTATGTGAGGTTCGATATTTCCTGGACATATGTATATATGTCCATATTATTATTATTATTATTGTTATTTCTCTTTTTTTTCTTTCCTTTTTCTCTCTCCCTTTCTCTCTCTCGTCCAGTTATATGAACAAGTATGCTCCATCAGTTCAGTTGTGTATTTTGTGTTATCTGGATGACACGTTTTCCTTGAATAAAATTCATTCATCATCTGAACCTATATTACCTTCTATATTACATCAACCTACAAGACAAGGTAGGATTACTAACACTACTAACCCAGCTAATACAGATCATAGTTTTCTATTGATTCATTCCGGCCTATTAACATTTAGTGGGTAGAAGATTTGGATGAAAGAGAAAGCTAACACGTGTCACGTGTAGTACGAATAAATCGAACTCACCCACACAAACACAGAATTTATAGTAATTAGCTGGTATGTGCGTTTTTTCTCGATTTCGCCTATCCATAACGTATAATTATATTTTCAGGTGCAATAAACGCTCAAAATATCGTCTCGGCTCTGTCTGAGTTACTTAATAATAATCTTTGTATTAGTACGTCATCTTCGGTGACAGTGTCAGAGCGTCAAATGGCTGAACATTTAGCTGATACAATACGGTTAGTGTCACAATCTCAACGAGTTTATTACGAGGAGAAAACTACTATCGACATCGGCGAGGAGTCTAATGAAGATGAAAGTGATGAAGACGAGGAAAAATTTGGTGAAGATAAGGATACTGAAAACAGAGATCCGGCGGGACCAATAAGTCTGNACTTTTTGCTATTACCAAAGTTTTTAAAGTTACACAATTGAAATTGAACATATGGTAATTGTTCAGGTGCAGTTCAAGGACATCCGCAAGTGTTGGAAACATCCGTGCATCATATGCTGGACTCTCCCAAAATGAAATAGTGGGTTTCTTCCCAGCGTGTTATTACATGTTCTATGTTGGTATTTTCCCAACATATTCATATACGTCGTACTTGGTTTTTCCAGCATGCTTATAAATATATGTCCTTGCTTTTCTTCTTTTTCGTTCACGATCACATCCACTACTTGGCTAGTTTTCTTGATAGTTCTTTTCCTCTTCCTCTTCTTTCTATTATTTTCGTTCCTATCTATATCGTGTTGTTAGCGTCAACAGGTATTACGTAGTTGCCGCTAACTTTTCTCATTCTTTTCGTTCTCCTTAACGTAACCTATGTGAGGTTCGATATTTCCTGGACATATGTATATATGTCCATATTATTATTATTATTATTGTTATTTCTCTTTTTTTTTCTTTCCTTTTTCTCTCTCCCTTTCTCTCTCTCGTCCAGTTATATGAACAAGTATGCCCCATCAGTTCAGTTGTGTATTTTGTGTTATCTGGGTGACACGTTTTCCTTGAATAAAATTCATATTCATCATCTGAACCTATACTATCTTCTATATTACATCAACCTACAAGACAAGATAGGATTACTAACACTACTAACCCAGCTAATACAGATCATAATTTTCTATTGATTCCTTCCGGCCTACTAACATTTAGTGGGTAGGAGAGTTGGATGAAAGAGAAAGCTAGCACGTGTCACGTGTAGTACGAATAAATCGAACTCACCCACAGAAGCACAGAATTTATAGTAATTAGCTGGTAAGTGCGTTGTTTGTCGATTTCGCCTATCCATAACGCATAGTTACATTTTCAGGTGCAATGAACGCTCAAAATATCATCTCCGCTCTGTCTGAGTTACTTAATAATAATCTTTCTATTAGTACGTCATCTTCGGTGACAGTGCCAGAGCGTCAAATGGCTGAACATTTAGCTGATACAATACGATTAGTGTCACAATCTCAACGAGTTTATTACGAGGAGGAAACTACTATCGACATCGGCGAGGAGTCTAATGAAGATGAAAGTGATGAAGACGAAGACAAATTTGGTGAAGATAAGGATACTGAAAACAGAGATCCGGACTGGAGCGACGAAAGTCTTGCACGGGAAAAGTTTGGTTTAAAAGAATATTCTGAGGACTTTATGCGTGAAGTTATTGACTATGTTGATGGGACCAATAAGTTTGGCGGCAAACGTCGTCGGTCATGGAAATCGATACATAATCGATTTAAAAGTATACCAAGTCAGAACTACATCAGTAACTTTCGTCACTATTTGGAACGCCACGGTACAAAACGGCAGAAAACTCAAAACGTGGATGAATTAGTTTATAAGAAGGTGATTGAAGCAAGAGAAAAAAGTCTTACCGTGCACGATCTCGATATTCAAAGATGGTCCTTGAGAATTGCAAGAGACTTAAAGTTGCAAGATTTTCATAGGTCTCATCATTGGCTTGAAAATTTAAAGACACGACATAAACTAGTCTCCCGTAAAATAACGAATTTCGTTTCTCACCATCAAGTGGAAAGTTTTGATGCGGTTCAAAAATCCAAACTTGACTTTATTTCAGAATACAGTAAACTTTCGTTCCATTACAAACCTTCTGAAATTCTAAATACAGATCAGACAGGTGTTGAGAAAGAACTACATTCATCACGTACTATATCTTTTTCGGGTGAAAAGAAAACTTTCGGTGCGGTGCAAGCGAAAAATGCAACGACACATTCTTATACTTTGCAGCCGACCATTTCACTAGATGGAAAACTATTCGAGCAAAATTATTTATATTTGCAATAACCAAACGGTAAGGTATTACCCTCTTCCGTCTCATTTCTCTCTCATTCTACAAACTTTCAATCATTGTTTTAGGAAAAATGGAAGAACAAGTGAAAAACACCTTTTTCAGCCAAAAAGCGTTGTCATTACATGTTCATTGTCGGGAAAATTGACCACATCTTTGGTAGAATATTGGAGAGATCACTGTTTGTTGCCATTAATTGGTGCCAAATGTTTGTTACTCTTTGATAGCTATCCTGGTCAAAGTCATGAGGAGACGTAAGAGTCGAAAAATTGTGGAGGCAAAAAAGTTCACCGTTTACAAATTCTACGAAACACAACCGATGATCTTCAGCCGTTAGACTGTTTTTTCAATAGACAGATAAAAAATTTCTTGAAAACATGATACAATCGTGTTGCTCTAGATGAGCTAGACATTCCATTACATCAACGTAGCAATATCATTCAGTTAGTCAGTCTAATGCACAATCAGTTAAGTGCGAAAGTCTTTGCACCAATGATTCGGTACAGTTGGTATGCCAGTGGATTAACGAAAGACGATCCAAGGCCATTTAAAACAGTAAGTGAAGTGTGTTTTCCGAGATCAGAAACTCATGATGAGTGTGAGGAAAAAAACTGCACTGAATCAGTGTTTATTACGTGTGCTGTCTGTTCTACGAAACTATGTTTTGAACATTTCTTTTTCAGTTATCATTTTCATTGAAATAACAGTAAGTGTATTTCAGGTGCACAACTGGAGCCATTTTAAAGTGTACTAGTTTCTTTCTAGGTTTATAATCGTGTAAATATGGTAATTCTAATGGGTAGTGGTGAATCCACAGTAGCTCGGAAAAAAGGAACGGAATAATAAGCAGTTTTTGTTATTTTTGGTTTTTCATTTTGTACATTTTACATTGAAAGCTATTTTGCTAATAAAAGATTAAAAACATTGAAACTTATCAGTTCGGTGTGCGAGTCCCATCAGGTCCGACACATTCTAGGTTCTGAAACGAAGGAGTTGTTTCATTTATGCGTGATTACTTGTGGCTTCTTAAACCTAGTGCTTCATAAGATCTTTCAAACAGCACTTAGGATGTCTGTAAGCTACTAATTCACTGCGAGCAATCATCTAGAACGAACAGGAAAACATTTTTTATTAAACAGTTTTAAGGGAAAACGGCGAAAAACTTTGAATTTCAAAAGAACTTTTGTCCTCGGTATTTCGTTTTTTTACCTAAAAACCAAGCTTAAAAATCCTCTAGTCACCTTGAAAAGTAGTTTTCTATAGGTTTTGCGCTATGCTCTTTCATATGGACACATGAAAAAGTTGTTTTGTCGTAAAAAGGTTTTGAGCCTGAAGACTTGGTTTTTCCAAAAAATCGGCTCAAAACCCAAACGTTAGCCCAAACAGTTGTGATATTCGGTTTCAGCACCCTCGATTACCTATTGTCCACTTAGTCTCAGTTCGAAAGCAATTTTCAAGTTGGGAGCCTTCTCTCGTCAATGATAGTATCAATTCGATCTGATCAAAGAAGAGCTAGATCTCCAGCATCAAGGCTATTTGTTGTGATGACAAAGAAAATATTCTTCAAATAGGTCATCCGATCTATTCACGCAAATAAATACGTAGTAACATTGTCTCCAACGTTACTAAGCGTTTCTTGTATGTACAATTTACATTAAATTCATTAAATACGATGGCATGAATATTACATACTACTTAGTCTTCACGAGCATTTTCAAATAACTCACGGATTGTACGAACGATCATTTTTTTTTGTCTCAGTGTCAGGAGAACCATGAACAATAGACTTTTGTTAAAAAGATTCTGGTTACAAAGCTCTTAGAATAAATTTGCGTTAGTAACATTCTTATAAACAGCTGTTCGAAAATGTTATCAGAGGCATCGACTTTATTTTTGACGTTAAATTTTTCTTTGATACTATTGGACAGATCGCGTGGTAGTTTAATTGAGGCCAATGCAACTAAGTGATACCAATGATAAATTTTCAAGCGAAACATATGTTATAGTCGGTAGCAAAGCATAATAGAACCACAAGGAACAAAGTATTCTATGCACGCATTGAATTCGAAAGAACCATGCTTTGGAGTCACTTGTAGTTAGTTGGTTTTCAAAAGAATGGATCCTTCAGGCTCACAGATATAATATTCGTATCAAAATCTTCTTAGAAAACTTTTGTGTTAACAAGCAACTGTTTCTCAGTCGCAGACATATACAAACCGCCTTTGAACGAAGTGATAAAGCGCGCATAGTGTCACGAAAGGAAGCTTATGTGATCACATGATTATTGAATCGAACATGCCATAGTAATGAGCAATATGAAGAATATGAATAAGTTTTCTTCTTTCGCTGCAATGTCACTGATACCGAATGTACGGCAATGCTGTTAGCTCTGAAAACACTAGAACAAACCACATATTTGATTTGCAATATCTGTTAAAACTCAATGATATCTGAAACTTGCCTCACAGAGACTAGAGATGTTTTTTTACGTCTGGCTATTAACCAGAATAAAAGATGAATGTGATAATGGTGTGGACCTGAAAGCAGAATGTATGGATTTTCATGACACGATTATTCCATATCATATGATGAACTTGCCTACATTACTCTGCGATAAGGGTTGCACTCGATTGACCAACAAGTAAAAATCTACTAGAGAACTAAACAAAAATTGACNTTAGTTTTTTCAATTTTTCATTATCAGAGAAATACCTTTTTAGAAAAGTAAATATATGTTGTGATAATCATCCTGTACATTTTTGTCTTACCCAACATTCATCTGCTATGGCACATAAATCCAAGACAAGACAAAAATATATAGGACGATAGAAAATTTCAAGTTCTATTACAATACATATTTTTCTATAATAAAGAAAAATTGAAAACACTAATTTAAATGACAGTGACAAAATGAAGTCCATGAAAATCTAGTGATGAGAATGCTTTTATTGCACTCGATTTATTTTCGTAGTATATAAATGCAAACTAAAAGATACATACACACGATGATAGAAAACTTTAAACGCTTTCAAAATATGCACTTATTTATTCCCAGGGGAATATAGTCGACAGCAACAAAAAAGAAACAAACAATGATATTTTTTCTCAAGACTCGAACTATATGTCGCTGCTAGTTGATTGCACACAACATAAAACTATATAATTATTTGATTATAATACATTCTCTAGTTAATCATTTTCTTCTATTTGTTTAGAATCGATGTCTTCTATACATATAATAATATCAGGTGCATCTTCCGTTGGAAAATCAACACTTGTCGACGAATGTTTACGAAAATTTCGTCAAGATAAAAAATTAAAAAATAAACAATTTAAACGTATTCAAGAGGTAGCACGTACTGTATTAAATCGATTAAAACTTACAGAAAAACATTTAGAAGATTATATTTAAAAAAATAACATTGAAAATTTTTCCAATGTGCAAGAAAAAATAATTTATGAACAAAGTTTATATTTTGATAAAGAAAAAGATAATAATTATTTATCAGATCGATCTGGTTTTGATGCATTAGCATATATTCATTATTATTTTAAAAATGAACAAAAAGTTAATTCAATTTTTCGAAGTGAACTATTTCAATCATTAATCAATCAGTGTCAAAATGGTTTAATATTTATCATTCAACCACAAGAAGATTTACAAGCACAAAATGATAATTTAAGAATAGTACCAAATTATCAAGATCAAATGGAATATACAGACTCTTTAAAATATTGGTATAGAAATGCACATTTACCTTATTTTGTTTTAGCTGATCTTGATTTAACAAAACGTGTTGGATTTATTGAAAAACATATAAATGGTTATTTTCATTGGTTATCCCCAGCAATTCCAATTCCATTATATTTACCATATCATTTAAATAAACAATAACTACGTCATGAACAAAATAATATTGCAGTTCGATCACATTTAGATCAATCTTATATGCATTTTATTGAAATATTAGATAAACAAAATATTAAAATTAGTTATAAAAAATATGATAAAAATCGTTTAATAGAAAAATATGATCCATCTTGTTTAAATAATAAATTTGTTTCAATATTATTTGATGAAAAATTAGATAATACATTTATTGAAAATATTTTATTAAATGAAATTTTAATTAATCGTCAACAGTATCATTTTATTGGTTATAGTAATAGTCAATTAAGAGGTCGATCATGTTATTTATATGCTGGTTCAATTGAACAAATAGAACAAATCATTAATGATAATGGAGATTTTAATAAAATTAAAAGTTTAAGTGAACAAGCAGCACGTATTGGATTATTATTTTCAAGTTGTATACACCAACAATTCATATTGAATCTGATCATGTTATTCAAATTGATGATATTGAAAAAAAAAATGGTTATACTTTCACTGATGAGTAATTCTTTTTTTTAAGATTTGTTTTCGAAATGTAATATTCAACAATATGGGTAAAGAAAACAAAGTAGGAGATGGACAGTAAAATTTTCCTCAGAATTCTCTTCTTCGTCTTTCTGGTGATCGGACGTGTTTTTTTTTTCTCTCTCTCTATACTAGCTACATACATATATATTATATATACGTTCTGATCACGCGTCGAACGCGTGTCAGGTTATTTATTCATAATTTCACCAATTTTTGAAATTATTATTCACAAATATGGTGAAAAATTATCACCACCTGCCTAATTGTACCAACACCAATGAAAATACTCGTTATCACACAAATTCATCTGCAAATATCGTCGATAATTCTCCTGAATATTATTATGATCCACAATCAAATATGCACTTCAACTATCCGAATAATCAACAACAAAATCGTAAATATCGTGTTCCTCCACCTACCACAACTAATCTTAGAATGTTAGATTCTCCTGCACAGTCTCCTTGTAGACGTATGCGTGAACAAGATGATGATGAATTTATTACTGTTGTACACAATAAAAAACGTAAACAATTAAACAAGGATTTCGATGATCAATTCGAAGATCCACAACAGAAGTTCAATAATCCTAATGCACCTATACAGCAGCAGACAAGCATTTACAATAATAATCACAACAATGATCCACCACCTCTACTTGCAACACAATCATCAAGAACCATTACTTCTCGTACAATTTCAAATTCGAATCTCAATCCAAGTCAACCAAAACAACAACAACAAAATAAAATTACACCCGAATCTGCACGTTTTGCACAAACACGTTTTCCCTATCAACCCTTCATCATTCGTTTTACATCGGGAAACATTAAAGATAAACAAGTGGCACATGAAATCTCAAAACATTTTAAAGATAATTATCATACTGATATATCAATTTTAAATATTCGTCGATCAGTAATGAAATGTCAACAAAACGAGTATGACTATTTGATCTATGTCAAAGATTCAATTACATTTTCATTACTATTTCATCAACAAAACTGGCCTCAACGTATCGGTGGTGAAACTTTTATATTTCCTTCCTCACCATCATTTCCTGCACAGCTTTCATTCATAATAAAGAATGTTGACCTACGTATAAATCTTGATGATTTTGCTGAAGATTTGAAAGTTACCTATCCTGAAATTCATGCTGTAATTAGGTTGAAAAATAAATTTCAAAATAATATTAGATTAATTAAAATCGAAATTCTATCACCAACGATTCGCGAGCAAATATTAAATGCTGGTAGCATTCTAGTAAATAGTATTGCATATGACGTGGAGGAATATTTATCACCAGCAAATGTGTTGATCTGTTCTAAATGCATGGCCATCGGACACTTTAAAAAACAGTGTACTCAAATCAATGAAACTTGCAAAGTGTGTGGTCTGTCTTGTCCTGATCTTCGTCATCATAACTGTTCATTGATCAATAAATGTGTACACTGTAATGGTGATCACGTTTCAAATTCATATAAATGTCCTATAGTTAAAAATTTTCGTGCAGAATTAACAAAAAAATTGCTGTTTTCAAATCGTATGTCATCATCTTATGGTTTAACAAATACTAATATCAATAATACGTATAGTTATGATGCAACTGCTTTTCCAGTACTTCCTCGTCCACAACAACCATCACCATATTCGTTTACTAATTATTCAATGATAAATAAAATAGATGAATTAATTAATTCTGTACGTAAAGTAAATGATACATTAGAAAAATTTTCCAAGAAAAACGATGAATTTGAATTATTTATGAACAATAAAATTAAAAATGATGAAATATTATCTACGAAAATTGATCATTTAATAGAAAATGATGTGGAATTTAAGAAAAATATTATTCAACATGAAATTAAAATTACACGACATGAAAATATATTTATAAAATTAATTTTACCAATGATTGATGAAATCAGTAAATATTTATCAATAATTAATATCGACAAGAAAGGTGATACATTAGATGCTGATTTTCAAGTTACAATAAACAGAATGCGTGTACAATTGGAAAAAGTAACTCAAAATAAAAACTTCTAATGTCACTTTCTCCTTATGCAGTTCCTTTTTTCGACCCCTGTACCCCAAAAATGACTTCCTTTGAGAGAGAACTCTTCATTCGTAAAGCACAGGTGAACCTATCGTATTTTGATTTTTCTCTTTGGTCTGAAATCTTATTTGAATGGGAAAGTTCCCCTACACTTACTGCTTGTCTAAAAAGTTGGGAGCCATATAGAGTCATTGATACGTCTTCAATTATTAATTCTCTTCATATTCTATCATATAATGTTCGAGGTCTTGATTTGCGTTATCAGGAAGTATTACTTCTATCTAACTCATATAAATTCGATATTTTGATTTTACTAGAAACAGGCTTTTTTGATTTTTCACACTGCAGACAGGTTTTTTCTAAATATAAAGTCTACTATCAGAGAGGTGAAAATGCGCACGGTGGTGTTGTTATGTTAGTACGAAATGATTTAAAAGCAGAAAGAGTTGTTTGTGATTTACCGAACGTATGTGTAACTGATATTCTAGAAGAAAATGATAAAACCAGAATTGTAGGAGTTTATGCACCGGAGAGCAAAACATGGAAGTGGGAGGACCTATCACCTCTAGTTTCGAGTAAATGTGTTTTTTATGGTGATTTTAACGTAGATGTAGAAGAGGACCTGCTTAAGGCCGAGTTACTACTTTCATGGGCAGATTCTCACTTTCTTTCACCGTATATTCCTGATTCCATTACCTCTTTAAGATCGAACCGTACAATCGACTATGCTTTTTCATGTGGCTTCTCTGTTTCTATCCAAACGTATGAAGGTGTAGTTTCTAGCGATCATAAACCTCTTCTTTCTGTTATACCAATAAAATCTAAAGAAAGTGTTCTTGCACGTAATATTCATTGGAAAGTTTTTTCGTTGTTCAGTGAGTATGTTTATCCATTTTGGGAAAAAAATTGGCGCTTAAATAGCGTAAATAATGTCTACAACGATTATGTATCTTTTCTCTCTCTTCTTATCTCACGTTGCACTATATTCTTCCCAATTAACAAATATCGTATTGCTATTCCTCAAGCTCTACGAGCTTATATGTCCCACACACGTGCGTTAGCATATAGGCAAAAAAGAACAGGTGGTGAAGTATTAAAGATCATAGTTAAACTTAGAAGAAAAATGGCTAAAAAAGAACTCAAAGTCTTTTTACTTAATCAACTGTCTTCTTCTTTATCAGCACGTAATACTTCTTCACATCTTTCTGTTTCTTTTTGGTCTCGTACAAAGAAGTTCATGAAATCTACATCTTCTTCTCTACATGGTTTTATTCTTCCCAACGGTGAGATAGTAAAGGAAGCTGAGAAAATGTGCGAATTGAGTGCGGATCATTTTGAGAACTTGTTTAAAGAGTCTGAAAATATTTATAGACCGCATCCATACACCGATGCTCCTGAAATACGATGGGAGAATTATGAAGAAGAAATTCCACCAGTCACAATTGAAGAAGTGCTGGAGGTAGTTATGGGACGCAAAAAGAAAAAATCCTGTGACGCGCATGGTCTTTCTAACTTTATGTTCAACTTTTTACCAATTGATTATTGGTCTCTACTACTTAGAATCTTTAATTTATCTTTCGTTGGTAATGTTGTACCTGATCTATGGAATGAAACCAGAATTCTGCTTTTAGCTAAAAAAGAATCCATTTGTGAAGTTTCTGCCACCCGTCCTATTTCTCTGCTCGATGTGTTCTTAAAAGTAAATGAAAAATTGTTTTTAACTCGTTTCTCTAATGTGTTAGAACGTAGAGGTCTACTACCAGATACACAATCTGGATTTCGGGCCAAGTTTCGGCTCCAAACACGAGTGCTACTATTTCTTGAACAAGTTTCAAGTCTCATGGCTAATAGCTCGCCAGTGGCGACGGTCTTTATAGATTTCAAAGCTGCTTTTGACCAACTTTGGTTCGATGGGTGCATCGGAAAATTACAGAGAATGGGACTTCCAAGGGCGTATCTTATGTGGATAAATACTTGGTTAAGAGGAAGACGAGCGTATATCGAAATAGGTGGCAAAAAATCAAGGTGGTTTAATATATCGAGAGGGTGCCCTCAAGGATCTATACTTTCACCTATGTTATTTATTAGTTATCACGCCGATATGGGCGATTTTCTTTCTTTTTGTCTTAGTTACTCTTTCGCTGATGATCTAGCAGCAGTTTTAGCGGGCAGTATTGGCATGAAATATTCAAAACAATGTTTAGACCTTGAACGTAAACTACAATTATTCTTTGAACACCTTGAGTTTTATTCAGTGCTAACTTTGCAACCCATAAACTTTATAAAAACTGAAGCACTTTGGTCGGCTAGGGCCATAGGTAGCCCAAAATTTGATATTTCCTACGGGGGAAACAAAATACCATGGGTTAAGGAATTTAAATATCTTGGTTATTGGATTACACCAAAACTTGGTTTTGCTACCTTAATTAGAAAAAGTATGATGAAAATTAGACAACGTATCAGTATGATAAATTCTTTTCGTTTTTCTGGTACTACTTCCCCCGCGTTAAGAAAAGCGTTATTTCTCTCTTATGTTCTTCCTTTGTTTACTTGGTTGTTTCCTCTCTTTCCATTATTTACAGTTAAGCAACAAAATGATTTAAATCACTTTTATTATACAAGTCTAAAACGAGTATTATTTTGTTTACAGTGGCGCGACAACTTCTTTTCTTACGCACTCGATGAAATATCACTAGAGGACAGATGTTTGCGATATTGGAACAAGTATTTATTAGCATTATCGGATAGCATAGATGGGGAGTTAATGTTTGAGCAAGCGAACTTAAATGTATTTAGAAAAGTCTGGCTGCAAGGTGATAATAGTATAAAAGGAGTTTTCAGATCAGAACGATATGTAGAACATGTTTCATTGTTGGAGTCATGTATCTCCTGGTGTGCGGGTATACCCTCGAACGAATCGATTTTACATTATAATATTGAAGACGTAATGACCCTCAGTGACTTTCCAGAGACTTTTTGACAGTGCTTACATTATTGTGTTCCTTTAAACGTGATAGTAAAGTAATAAATCGTTTTTGTTGTCTATCTGTATAAAAATCTTATATGTTAGTTGATGTGTTATTAATGTTCTGAAGATTCTCTCGCAGCATGGTACACATATCTGATTTCACTTTCATTCTCACCTTCTTTACTTCATCTCTTTACTTCATATCTGTACTTCTCACTTCGGTACTGTAAGGACTTTACAAAGTCGTCAGTTTCTTGCTAATAAAAAAAAAAAAATGTGTGGTTTGCATGCTTCTTACCAAATATGTCAAGCATTTATGTTGTAGATTTCGTTTGACTTCATGTTGGAAGTTCACAATGAGTATTAATAAAAAAAAATAATTTACGATAAGAATTCATTTGATGTCAATTAGATCAAAAATTATTCTAGATATTTACTATATCAGGCCTATATTTTTGATCATTGAGGGTCTCTATAGAATAATTCTCGTCGAAAACGAGACATGTAGTTTGTATAAGTCGATCAGTTTTTCTGAAGTATAATTGAAGCTGACGATGCCATCCAAAACAAAAACTAGTTTGCTATCCTTTTTCTTGGACTCGAAATCACTAATGCATATATGCAAGCCTCCGTTACACATTGCAAGTCATAAGCACCTATCGTTGTTAAGACCTTTGATTTACAAAAACGATCCTCTCTTACTATTATTCCTTTCAGTCGTTTGTCATTTCTATGCATGCATTGTATGAATATAGAATTGCACGAATTTTCTTTGGATTTTGCTTCAGAACAACCGAAGTAATTTGCAATAAATGAGTAGCTGCTTTTTCTCCTATTATGAATATGCTTTGATAACTGCAAGTTGTATCATTATAAAATAAGTTTAAAAATTAAAATATTTTCCACAAGATTTATTTCAGTACTTCAAAATTTCTAGAAAAAATGATATAATTCAGTACGTGAAGCAACTTAAGGATGTGGAATCTGAGACAACACCAATCTGGTACTATCCACAGTTGAAGAAAATACTGATTGTATCATGATTATAGCATCCCTCTCCTTTGTAGCGTCATTAATTACTTATACCTATATTTCTCAGATGACAAATATAATTCTCATTGATCATGTGTCTGAAGAGGCTATTTTAGTAAATCAAGTCGAGTTTTATATGAATAGTTTTTGTGTGCAATTGAGCGAGTAACTGTGATATGTGCTTCATTTATTCGTGAGTGATACTAAGAAAGTGTGATCGTTTTCTTTCCTATTTTCTTTACGTTTATGAGAGTTTAAAGGGCATTCCTTTTCAAGTTTGTTTTCCTTGCGTACATTCACAAATAATTCTTCTTTTTTGTTCATTCAAGTAGATTGGGGAACGTTTGCGTTATAATCTTTACGTCTCGAGTTCGTTTATTGTAGTTTTACTTGCAGAACGAGAAGTAAAGAAAAAGAGAATAAATAAATATATTGCACATAATGTATCAATATTCTGCACTATTTTAACGAAATTTTCAAGAAAATTCTTGATACTCATACAACCTAGTTTACATAAATCATGAGCAATTACGAAGATAATAACTCTTACGACAAGAAAAATCTAGATTCATTGAATTCGAAAAAAATTTTATTAACTTTTTCATCTTTCTTTTCCATTCTAGAAGTCAATATCGTCGGTACCAGAGAAATCTAGACGTTGGCATCCAAGATTCATAACCACGGTCACATACCCATACCCTAAAAACTCTTTGAAATATCAATGAAAAACATCTTTTATTTGTCAATGTACGAAGGAAAAAATAATAACCACTATTTACGATGCAAATCATAGAGTACTCAGAATAACATTTAGTAAACATCGATAATCGTGTACTAAAGAATATAAACAAAAAAATATCACCTAAAATATTGATGAACAATAAACAAGAGACATTTCATTTGGTTACTTACATGAAAGATGATATCACTTTGATAAGAATACGATACAGTGGTTATTAACATTTATTTTACAAATTGAAATATTGAATA